GTGGGTGGGTGGGTGTGTGGGTGTGCGGGTGTGTGGGTGTGTGGGTGTGTGGGTGTGTGGGTGTGTGGGTGGGTGTGTGTGTGTGTGTGTTTGTTTTTGTGTATACATGTTACATCTACATACACACGTGTATGATAATTATGGGGACCTAACCTACTCAAGCTCAAGGGGCCACCATATAGCGCCCAAGATGAAAACTCCGAGATGTCGCCCAGGCACGGAAATTCTTCAGATTCACTTTGTCTTTGCTTCCGGTCCTTGGAGCTCATGACCAGCAGCTAGTATCGAGTTGCTTTGGGAAGATTTGGGGCTGGGGGGGTGGGGGGGCCGTAGACTTAGGGTTTAGGGTTTAGGGCAAAGCGTTTCGGGCTCACTTTCGTGTTGCATCGTCGGCTCTTTGACTTGAGAGTTTGCCGTGTCGGCAGCAAGCTCATCCGCCGTGAACCTCTGCGCCCCCCAAATGTCGTCGGCAACATCCTACATACACCTCAGAAATCGCACACCAAGCCCTGAATCCCCCCCCTAAACCCTAAACCCTACACCCTAATTCGAGGACGGTTCACACCTACGTGCGAGACCTCAGCCCGAACAAGTAGCCGCGCCAAGACGAGGAGCCTTCGAGAGTTGAGGCGGTTTAGGGTTTAGGGCTTGTTTAGGGTTTTGGGCTAAGTAGGTGGGACGAAGAATCTAATTCCCTGCAAGGAATCTGACCTCGGCTTTCCTCCACCTCCCTTCATCCAAACGCTTCACTTTAGAAAAAAACACCCCAAAAAGTCCCAACCCTGAAGAACCCTGCTGGCGGCAACTGAGGCGCTTCTCTTTGATTTTCGAATTCCTCGGATCCCAGAAACGGTTCAGGGTTTAGGGCTGCAAGGTTTCTGTAAAGGGCTTCTCAAAACAGGTTTCCATAATGCCGTAAGGGCTCCTTTAAGGATTCCTCAAAAGGAGCCCTGAAACAAGGGATAATGGAAGGCAGCCCTATAAGGCTCCTGTGAAGGGGTTTATGTAGTGAGGGGCGCTTTACGGGTTCCTGTTGTACGGCTCGGGTTTAGGGCTTAGGGTCTATGGGTTTAGGGTTTAGGGTCTATGGGTTTAGGGTTTAGGGTCTATGGGGTTTAGGGGGGACCCTTGGGGATACGGACCCTCTCAATCAGGTCCCTGTGAAGAGAGCCAAGAAGGTAGGGTTGAGAAGGGTCCCCCCTTTAAGGGGTCTCCCCAATACTACCTACGGTTGATGATATAAATCCTGCAGTACCCACAATTACAAGAAATATTCAACAATTCGCATAGTTTAGGGTCCTTAAGGTAATGCAGGAAGCCCTAAAACCTAAACCCTAAAATCTTCAACAGTAGTGTGAAAAGCCCAGTCTATTGCAGGATTTATATCATCAACCGTAGGATGAAGTGGTCCTGCGAGGCGTCCTGAAAAGCGTTTCCGTTACTCGGGGTCCTTCTTCGCAAGGGTCGCTAAACCCTAAACCCTAAACCCTAACCGCCCTAACCCCTAACCCAAAATACCCTAAAACCCTAAGCCCTAAACTCCTAAACCCTGAAACCCTAAACCCTAAACTCCTAAACCCTGAAACCCTAAACCCTAAACTGCTACGGGCTTATGGTATGAGTCGGAGCCCAGGATTTTTTTCGAGTTCGGGTCTAAACCGCCCCGATACTTCTGGCCGATCCCTTTCAAAAAGGGGTCTGTTTAGGGTTTAGGGTTTATAAGCTTTAGGGTTTAGGGTTTAGGGGTTAGCTTTAATGAGACTCAGGGTTTAGCTATAATCAGACTTATTGTTTAGGGTTTAGGGTTTAGCTGTAATGAGACTCCAACCCAAACCCCGCGACGGAAAACTCGAGAAAACGGATTCCCGAAATAGACTGAGGCCACTCATCCTCAAAGGCAAAACGCAAGACATAAAACCCAAAAAAGCTGAACCTCAGACGCCTAAACCCTAAACCGTAAACCCCTAAACCCTATCCCCCGACCCCGAACCCAAAGCGTAAGCGACCTATCCGAATCTTGTCCACCACCACAAAGGGGTGTTTAGGCTTGGTAATTCAGAAGGTTCTGGTTTTGGGGCTCACGAAACTAGACCCAAAAGCCCTAAAATTTGACCCCTGAACCCGGATGCTTAAGTGGAGAAGCCACCATGTTGTGAAAACCAACACTATCCAACAAACGTGTTCATCAGCTGCATAACCGTATGGGTACTCATAAAGAACTAATGCTAGCTCAAGCCTGGCTGAGGACAAAAGTCTGACCCGCGTACAGAATCGTGAAAGAACCCTAACCTCAACCCATAAGCTCGACACCCGAAACTCTAAATCCCTAAACCCTAGACCCGGAAGCCCTAAACGCTAAGGCCTGAACCCCTTAATCCTGAAGCCGCCAAACCCCAAAGCCCTAAACCCCTGAACCCTTAGGCCCCAAACCCTGAGGAGTAAGCCGAGCTGCAGCTGTCCGACGGTGCCACGGAGCTCGGCGATCATGCGCTTTGCCAGCTGGTTGATGTCTCGGACCTTTCTTGAGGATACTGCAACTACAGGGTTTAGGGGTTTAGGGTTTAGGGCTCTCGGGTTTGGGGTTGAAGGCCTGAGGGGGTTGGGGTGCTTGTTTGAGCTCCTTTGTATGTCCGCCCCACCATCTGAGCTTACATCAGACCTACTGCCCCGGAGAAATGACTGGTTTAGGGCTTACGACGCCGCTGCGCTCGGCTGCGCTTGGCTGTCCAGATTTTCGTACGACCGCGCCACCGCACGATCGGTTTAAGGAACTTCAAACTAATGCCTAGTACCACCACTACTACTACTACTACTACTACCACTACTACTACTACTACTACTACTACTACTAATTCTACTACTACTACTACTACTACTACTACTACGACCACTACTTCTACTTCTACTTCTACTTCTACTTCTACTTCTACTTCTACTTCTACTTCTACTTCTACTTCTACTTCTACTTCTACTACTGCAGCTGCTACTGCTACTGCTAGTACCTGGACTCTGGGCTCCCGCATGGCAACGTCCGTGGTACTGGTCCTGGTCAAGTACACCTTCCAGTAATAGTACTGATCGCAATAGTAACGGTTGTGAGGTAGTGGTAGCGAGGTAGCACGCCCGAAGAGACCCTGGCAGGGCCTAGGCACCTCGATTTCCACCCGTCTGAAGGTAGTCGCGGACAGCCTCTGCCTGGAGTACTCGAGCAAGACAGGGCTAGAAGGACTAATTAGGCCTTGAAGTCTAGGACTGTACTTGCAATGCGTCCGAGGGGCACAGGAAGAACTGCAAAACGTAGCGACCACCCGGAAGGCACGCGATGCCCTTCATCCCAAGCAGGGCGCAACCCAGCATGACGACGAAAGTCATGTGGCCAATGGCAACTTGGAAAGTTGGATCGTATGGAGTACCAAGGTGGCTGCGAAGCCGTTCGCATGCAGATATGAAAAACCTGCGCGACGGTTGATGGGTTGGGAAAAGAAGTGGCGCACTAATGATATTAAGAGACATCCGTCTTCTGCTGCGCATGAAAAAACTTTTACAAAAGGACAAACTGACGCAGGCATGGCAACATGACGGCCGCCAGCTTGGTAATCATCTTGAAGATGAAAGCCCGTTCCTCATGGCAACTTCTCCAGATCAATACCAAAAGGCACGCTTTGGCCAAACATATTGTCGTCCTCATGGACACGATGGCTCGATAGTGCTGCTTATCTTGCATATACACAGCCGCCAGGTAGACGCGCGCAATATTTACCACGATCATGGGTACCAAGCACCTCGGATGACAAACATTAAGGCAAGCTGAAATGAGCAGACATGCACCCTTGCATAGAAATGCCATCGCTCTGGGGCAACAATGAGACCGCAGCATTGAAGCCAAAAACTGTAGCTCCGGCAGGTCTACTAAAATTTCGGCTTTGCAGTTTTTGCCAGAACACCGAAACTCTACGAGATGTCTCAGGAAGAAGCCTCGTCTAACAGTCCACCACTGCAACATGCTTTGAGGGTCAAACCATTATTCACACCCTTGAACATTTAGCACATCAACAGTCAACAAACCCCACGGTGCAGGCAAAGAGCACGAAGGGCACTGTGATCTCGTAGTGACCAGCGCCATCAATGTTAACGCCTGCTTGCAACTTGTTCAGAGCGAACGCTCGGCCGGTTGCTTGTCATAGAGAACACTCATCAACACTGAACACTGACTTGGCAACATGCTACACACGCATGTCAGCAAGCAGACATGATGGCCATTTTCTCAAAATTCCAACCATGCGAGCTGAGCTTTTGGAGTTCTTGAACCATGAGTTGAATGGCAAAAACCCATTTCCGAACAGCCAAGCGAGCCTCTCAGGAGGGTTGTACATGTCATTTCTCTTCAGTATGCAGCACGGCATGGCTGTGCAACCTCGAACGTTTGTTGGGATCATTCGGTTATTTCGGATGTCACACCGCCGGAAGTATCGACACAACTGCCGGATCGGGAGCTCGCGGACGCCGCTGGGTACAATTTAGGCACGCCTAAAGCTTGAATCATTGATGCCTTCTGGCCCCTAATTTGAACCATCGTGCAGTCGTGGCTGTGCAGGCAAAACCCGCACGAGGACATCCTCTTTGCCCTGGCTATATCGGCTCGGTGTGATCTTCGCCAACGAAGATGGTAAGAGCAAACTCTTTGCGGCTCCGGACGAGCAGGTAGTGCGGCTCCGGACGAGCAGGTAGAGACGGCATAGACGAACTTCGATCTTAAAAAACCACTGCACAGTTACATGTCTAAAGTTAGCGGACTGCACAGGCTTCCGGCAGAAATGGCGAATCGTTGAGTGCATCAAGCATTTACTCTCATAACTCTATGAAGCATGTTGACAGCGCATTGCCGGCTCGGGATACGTGGTTGCTGGGGTGTCCTGCATCAGCGATGGACCGCAGCGTCGGAGTGGACATTCCAGCGGAGAGAAGCACGCTGATAGAGTGATCCACCTCGGGGTCACCCAAAAAGTAGAACTTAGCGTGCCTCTGCAATAGGAGCTTACTGTGTATTAGAAAAAAACTAGAGTCAGGGGTAAAATTCCCCAGTCCAGACCGGGCCGCTTCTTCCAGTTCTGCCAAGACTTAGAGGCATGCTCCCCTATTACGGGTTTCTGAGCATTTTGAGAATCTCCAGCAAGAGAAATAACTGGAGTCAAGAGAGCCAATCAAATGCCCACACCGGTGTACACCCACACCATCACCGGAAGCACAGCAGCAGCAGCGGCATCGCACGGCAGTCACAGCATCTCTGCTCTACCCACCACGATCAAAAGAAGAGCAGCACAACAACAGCAACCACCACAACCATAACCGCCATAACCACAACCGCCACGACGACGAGGAAGAGGAGGAGGACGACGACGACGACGACGTCGTGACGAAGACCACGACAACGACCACCACCAAAAAACGACCACGGCTTCGACCACACAACAACAGCAGAAACAACAACCACAACCACCACCACCACCACCACGACGACGACGACCACAACAACAACAATAACAACAACAACAACATCAGCAACAAACGACCAATAACAACAACAGCACTATCACCAAAAGAAGCGGCATAAACAACAATAGCTACATGAATGCTACACTGCAAACCCCAGAGCCGCTGCACCATTAATAGCCGCGGACGCTTAGACCCATTAGGGCCTACATTATAGGGCTGCTATGTTGAAATCACTCACAAGGCCTCCGCTACCACACAGCGCTTTTGACCATCCGAACAATCACTTCCAGCAAGCAGAACACAACATGTCAGTACGACAAGACCGAACCAACGCCCTAGCCCTAGTCTCCTTGACTGTATTTAACATCCGCCTGGTAGAAGGAATCGCCTATTTCCGCCCGAATCTGGACAGCATCCGATTCCTGGGTGCACGTTGCAAACTCGACAGACGCTTGGTCCTGACCAGGAGCCAGATGCGTTCATCATTAGCCGATGGCCTTTTCGAAGTACCACAACCATGATGTCTACTGGGTTGGTATTGTTTCGGCGCTTTGATGAGAGGTATGCTCGAGTGATGGCGGTCTATGCCGGTGTCAAAGGGACTGGTATCGTGTGCATGAGATGTCACTGGATATCGGTCGTCATCGGGAGTGCAATAATTATTGTGACAGAGAAACGTTGTCTGATTCTAACAACTGCATGTCGCAATGACTGTGATGCGTGCCAACGTGCCTGTGGGCCCTCTCTCCATCGGAAATAACGGCCAAAGGATGAACGGTTTATGCGAGATTGCTGCGGGAAGCGAAAAGTTCAGCTTGCGTTGGGGCTCAAGGCTCAAGCCAACGTCGTCTAAATAAGCCGTCACCGAGACAATAGCAAAAACAACTACCGGTCTCCCATCCATAATGGCAATGGTCTCCCATCCATAATGGCAATGGTGATGGTTGTGAGTGTGGCAATGATGTTCTGATGGCCATGTTGTGATGCCCACTATCTAACATCCACCAGTTTTGGGATCATCACTTACGCAGTCGGGGTGCGGAGTTTGGAGAAAGCGCCCAAGAGTCTGGACGGTCAGTGTCTGGGCTGGTGTAGCCATCTAGCGGTGTTGTCAGGGTCTCCATCAGTGTGCTGGTTGATACTTTAATTGTCGGTGTTATGGTCGTGGTCCTGGTCGTGCCTGTTCCGGCCGTGTCGCGGTCGAGACCCGGTTTGTTGTCCCGGGACACTGACTGTCCTGTCCAGCTCGATGTCTGTGGGTGAAATTGGTCGATGTTCCGGTCGGTGTCCCACCCAGGCCAGTGCGTGTCCGTGTCCCTCATTGTACTTCGGCAATTATAAGGCAGCTTCTTTTTGCCATTGGGGTCTGCAGCTGAGTTGATTGTTATTCACATCGTCATCGTCGTCAATATCAGAAAGTTCATTCAGTGACAGAAATATCTGCAAGTAATTTAATTGAGATGTCTGGCCTCCAGCCCACGGTTCAACTGCACCGCTTCCTCCTCGAGCGATTCGCTGCCTATCCGGTCCGCCTTCGGAGGAGGTCTGTCCCCGAGGCCCTGAGCCATCTACTCAACAAGCGGAAAGCCTTCCTCTGAAGGAAAAATTGACCACCGATATCTACCCAGGAATCTTCTGGCTGCCTATGTCCATACTGCCGTCCTGACTGCATTTAATAATTGTTGGGAGCGGGGCTCTACGACTTTACGGCTTAATTCTGCGCTAATCTTGATTGAACCACAAAGCAAGACTTAACCTCTGGGAAGACCTCATGTGGAAGCAGCCAGCCTCGGCCATCCAAAAGCCGCAAAGCGCAATGCCTATCACCCAATGCTGCTGGATCTGAGGCACAATCTCACATCCTGTTGGCAAAGGAAGCCAAAAGTGATGTGTTTTCCAGGAGAAGAACAAGGACGCGGAGCAGGCAACTCCACAGAGATTCATAGCACGGCGCTTCTGCGGGCCGTGGACAAGGGCACCCAGCAACAAAACGGCCACAAGGAGAATAATGCAGGTGAGGTTCGCATCCGTGCGAATGCGATCCCCTGCAAAATTGCGGATGACGACTCCGATGACTGCACCAAGTGCAGTCGCCACCATGAGGCATGGCACAGCTTGCAAATAGTCATGTCCAATGGGCCTTCTTGCGATAAGAATGACCTTGCCCTGCTCTGATGCAAGATGGGCTTCATATGCACACCAAAGCCTGAGTCCCCGTGAGAAGGAAAGAAACAAGGATCCGGTTTACGGACTCCCAAACCACAAAAAATCAACACGAAACTGAACACTGGCTAAGAAGCCGGGTGTAAATACTGGCTTTGTGGTTGGGCACCGCAAGCACGTACGTAGCCTGCTCCAATGCACGGGCAAAGGGTGATTGGCTCGGTGATCGCAGCAACGCCGCAATGTTCAAATTCTGGGGATTCGCCAGCATGCAACACCAAGCATTCCGCGCAGGGTTTGGCCATGAGTTCAGTACCTAGGTTCCAGCTTTACTGCGGATGACTATGAAGCCAACTCAGGAGAAGAGAATAAACATCCTCGGGTCAAAGGCCTAGGCACCTTCTCCAGGAACTCGAAGATGCCCTCTTGCCAAGCATGGCTGATGAAGACGTCACAGTCCAGGCCATCCGGATGCTTTTTCAGAGCCCAACTGAAATGTGTCCCCTGCGTGGTTGGCTTGATATACTGCTCCGTGACCACATAGATGCTTGGACCATACCTGTCAAAGCCACCATTGGATGGGGGCGGCGTGATCCTCTTCTGCTGAAGTGCTGTCATCACTTCGCTCTGGAGGTCCTCGGAACTCTTAGAACGCTACGCCTGAAGTGGGAAGCTGAACCTCCCTCCCATCACGGCCTGAGCCTAGTATGCGACTTCAAGCGCAGATGGGCCCGAGTGTCTTTCAAGTCGTGCTTTGTCACGCACCACCGCTCCGGCGGGACGGGGTCAAGATGTCGCTGGTCGTTCGAGCTCATGTTCATTCCTGGCTCACGATTCGTATTTCAAACCATCCAGCTGATGTGCACTCCTGGACCATGTAGGACACTATGACGAAGTCTAAATCCAAGGTCAACGGTTCACCCCAAAGAAACACCAAACAAAAAGCCAGGTGTCTCGTTTGCTGCAGCACTGCAGATGCGGAGGAGAAACATCTGGATCTCCGCATTGCGCCACTCCACTCCCCACTTGAGGACATGCTGGAATTCTCTTTGGGTGAATCTACGCTCCAATTCCGAGGAGCATGCCTTTGTTTCCTGGTTCCCGAATGTTTACAGCTATGGCTGTGGAGCCGACTCTATGCATTAGCAATTATAACACATATATCCCCATACATGTATACATTTTTGGCACTCACTCGACGAAGTCAGGCGAGGTATACGGCGACAACTAGCAAACCCCACATGTATGCATACAACATAGTATCGCAACTGTTACAAGATAGCCTGTGGCTTTCATACTTCCATAGCTCCCCTGCCAGGCTATCACAGCTGCGGCGAAAGGAGGCTGTCGAAGGCTCTTGTTGCTGTCAGCCCAGCTCTTCCGGCACAAGCGCTAAAAGTGACACGAACTTGCGATGACAAGCTGGCAGACTGGGTGGAACTTGGTTTGGATCTCAAACCTAGGAATTCCTACAGCCCCAGTCCAGCGAACTTCTGCTATGGTCAAAAAAACTGCGAACCCGTGTACCATGCCTCAGTCTCAAGTCCGACATCCGCCATGCTCTCTTGCAGAAACGCTAGATGCGGAGGCCTACATATTATGTTGTGGGCTAGGAAAGTAGAGCCTGCATATCTGTCGTACTTCTTCCATGTTTGGACCATGGGCTCTGTTGCATGCTTCGGAGGAATGGTGTTTGGGATTGCTGGGCCGGGGCCCTCTTCGCAACAATCTCCAGAAGCCTCACGAACTTCTGCAAGCTTACACCGAAGTCACACTGCCTGCTGCCAGGGTGGCTCCTTTCACCAACGCAGCGCTCCCATATCCGATCGTAGCTCTTCACCCCTTCCAAGCCAATTGCTGGAGGATTTGCAACATGATACGCGCGGAGGCTTGAACTACCCTCCCAGGCACCCTTGCAACTCTGCATGGCATCTGTTAGATGACTGCAGCTTTTGCTATTCCTTTCTCTGGCGCTTTAGGGATGCCCGTTCTTCGAAGTCGGCGGGTCGGAGTCTGCACAAGCGAAGACACATCAAGCATGTTACTATAGGAGTTGCAGACTCGTTCCCGCAAACTGTGCTAGCGACCATCCATCTCTCTCTCTCTCTCCCTCTCTCTCTCTCTCTCTCTCTCTCTCTCTCTCTGTTTCTCTGTATCTCCTGACTCGCTCAAACCTCCTTATAACAAGGAAGTGTCCATCTCTGAATTCGGCGCATTGTGACTTTGATTCCATGACTGCTTGGGTGGGATGTTGACGCCTCTCCACTTTTAAAGGCCGGTGGCCGCACTGGCATGCCCTTTTATTCTGTCCACGCTCCTTTGAGCTCGTTAACAGCATGCAAACAATAAAGCCCGCACCTGAGATCTCGATCGTCCTAGAGATCAGATACATGGAGTAGCCAGCCCCACAGGCAAACCTTGGAAGTTTCAACCCTTACACACAGGCCCACAAGCATCATGGCAGCCAAGATATTCATGGCAGAAGTACAGCAACAAATGCTTCGAGATGTGGTAGCAAGCTTTTCTAGAGGATTACCACTCGAATATTCTGAAAATCGTTCAGTACGTTCCTGCCTAGATGCGGGTCGAAGGTCTGGAGTCTGGACACGTGCATTTAACAAACCAGGGTAAAAGCTGGGAGTGGTGACATGCAGCGCCGCGCCTTGAGGTTAAAGTCGGATAAAGTTTAATTATGGACTCAGACAGGACACTATCCTCAATGTAGAACGTGAGAAGACGCATCCATAACTCGTAGCTACAAACGTGTCAAAGAAAGACGTGGCCTGATAATTGATCGGCTTCTTCCAGTTGAGTGCAACGAGGCTCGTGCATGTCACATAACAAACCATGTCGAAAAAAGCAGCCTGAGGCTCCGAATCGTGGAAGCCTTTCTGCTGAGTCTGTGGCAGCATCAGCAACACGACGGCAGGGATGTAGCCTCACATGGACACACGTGCACGGCTATCAAAGTACAACCCGATATGCTTCCGGCATCAACTTTGCGGCTGCAAGCCCGAAGGACTGAAAAAGGAGCCCAACTCAATCTCGCTGCTTCAACCGTCCGAACATTCATATAGTATTTATAATATAGTGATCCCAAAGCACATGACAATTGATTGCCACACAGGGTGCGACAAGTACGAACAAGGCTTCGGCTGATTAGGGCCCACCCTGCAAAAAAGAGCAGCCACTCCATACTGGGAAAAGCCTAACCTAAACGCTGAACCTTCGAATTACATGAGCTGCGCGACCTGTCCCTGACATGCCATAGGCCAGAGGCAGAACACCAGCAGGAGAGACGTCTGCTAGTAAGTTGACGACCAAGGAAGCGCCAGTCATGGTGTCCTCATATGTGTGTGTGTGTTGCAGAGTTCGGGGATTTGTTCTTGGGAGCTCCTGATTCAAAACAGGGATGCTACTTTGCAGCCTTAGCTTAGGAAACTCTGGGATTAGTCTCGGACACTCTGGCCGCGAACGTGCAAGCTTCCATCCGGCAAGTCTGAATGAATCTGAAACTGTTAGGAATAATGAAGGGCCCCAATAGCTGCATAATAGAGTGCAAGACCAAAGCCTGCGCTGGCAGGTTGTCCTCGTCTTGTTCGATGGTCCAAGTCGAGAACTTGCCTCGGAAGAGGCTAGAGCTGTGATTCAGTTGTTACGAGTACTACAGTGTGGCCTCTGAGCTACTATCTGAAGCCTTTTGTCGCCCTGGCTTCGCAAAGCCCTCTAAAGTTTCTAAAGGACATTTTTGCACCCCATCAGACCCGTGCAGAAACTGTGCAACCTGGTTTACTCACGGCCACGTAGTGAAGCGAAACCACGGATGTCGGGCGCCCAACCTTTAGCTCAACAAATGAAGCTCGAGACTCCCACGTTGCATTGAAGGCGGGTCCAAAGGGAGAACTCTTTGCCACATCTTATCGGGAAATTGCTAACTACCCTTACCCCAACCCCCCCCCCCCACCCCAACAGTATCCTTATGTTATGAAACCCAAAATAAGACCCAAATAAGCTTATTTCCGATCTGCTTTGTCGGGTATATTTTGTCGTTGTTGTCATGTCAGGGCATCGGGGAATCCTTGTTATCTGCCGGCAAAAGCTGAATTTGGCACTTGTAGCGCTCTGCTTGGGCCTTCTATTCGGGTCTGCTGTTGTCCTTCAGGTCCGTACAATTATTGCTTTATTTAATTTGTCACTGATTTGGCTATAATTCGGGCGGCAACGAAATAAGACCAAAACAGCTGACTCCAGCCTTGTTCCCTTATCTGCTCGGCCCGGAATTCAGCTTACCACGAGTCTAGCAAGGCCCCGTCTGTTTGGGGAAAGGGGGTAAGGGGGAGGGGGTAGGAGTAGTTAACATCTTCATGGGCATGATCTTAAGCTCTGCAAACAGCTCGGACAGACAAAACTCCGAAAGCTCAAAAGGGTCGCGTGTCATCCGGCACAAGACCCGAGAACAATACGTAAACCCTGGGTCCCACAATAGTACGCGTCCGAGCTACTTGGGTAGTCTTGCTCGCCTTCGGCGAAGGTCTGTCGCCGCGTGAGCATCCTAGCCCCGCCCATGACGAGGTGGGCTTTCGGGGGGGGAGTTGGAAATTGGCTGATACTAGCTGCAAAACGCGATAAAACACGCTTAAGTCATGGCCCTCTGCTACCATGCGTTGCGCTCACCAAATAGGCTGAGCGCGTAAGACTCACACACCACCGTGACAAAATCGACAAACAACTATACTTATCACGTATCCTCATTGGGCCAACACCAGCCCTGAAACACCTAGTTTCCGGCATGAGGAGGATTCGGTTCATATGCAAACTGTGCTGCCTGGCTCCCGCAGCCTTTGGGGTGGAGTGCTCACCTGCACAGATTACGAAATGTCTTGGTCTTTGATGGGCTTCGACCCTCGCTCGAAGTGGAGGACAAGAACTTGGTCTTATGATGGTATGTGTTACACTTGAGAGGTTGGGAATGATGCCGCACGACTGTCTCAAGCAACGCATACCCCGACTGTCAAGACGGGTGCCACCAGGTCAGGACTTCTTGCGTAACTGCAGCAGCGAAACACCCAGGTAACTGGCATAGAATGAAGCACTTCTTCACAGCATCCTAAGTCCTGCGTTAAGACAAGCCATCATAAACCGGGGAGTTGCTCAAGCGAAGGCTTAACCAGACCTTCACAAGCAATCCAAAATTCCAGGAAATTGAGAAGTCAAAGAAATGGCGCAGGAATCTTAAATCCTGGTCGACAGGGTTCAGGACTTCGAGCTTGGTTGCGATTGAAGACGCCCCGAGACGAAAATTTTCATACCGACAGATGACTAAACCAGCGATGAAGAACCCTGCAAGTATCACCTCGGCTGGGAGTGGCTCCGCCGCTCCCTGCTTCAAGACTTCCATATGAATCCTGGCCGAGCTTTCGTTGGACGAGACTGCAGGACCAAACAGCCATCGCGCACGCGCACTTATACATCGTTCGCATGCATGTATATATGCATACATCCATACACACATACATACTTACATACATACATACATACATACATACATACATGCGTCAGGATACACACTACTACCTAAACGCGTATACGTAAGTGCGTTTCTTTCTTTGTGCTGGTGTTTGTGTGTGCCTGTGTGCGCATATGGAAATTCTCCTTAGTCTCTTCGTATGGTTTGCCGCATTCGCGAAGCTATTCAACACAAATAAAATCAAGAGACACTGAATTTACATATATATATATAGATACATATGTACATATATATATACATATATATATATACATATATATATATACATATATATATATATGTGGGCGTGTGTGTCTGTGTATCTGTGTGTGTGTGTGTCTGTGTGTCTGTGTCTGTCTGTGTCTGTCGCTGTGTGTGCGTGTACATGTGTAGATAAACATACAGAGATAGGTAGCTAGATGGATAGATAGCTGATAGATAGATCGATCGACAGACAGATCGACACATAGACAGATATTAATGTGTCTGTGTGAGTGGGCACATGTCTTACTGTTTCAGGGTGCCTTTGTGCCTGGGATACCGGGCGAGCGGCTGGGGGGAGCATTGCAACTCGGGCTGAAGACCCAGTCCTCTTGGTGTAGGGCTTACAATGTTCACATCTGCGCAGGTGTGTTACTTGTAAGGGCTAAGTATGTATGAGACAGCAATCATCTGTCTGCAAAGTAAGCACAGCAGTGGATGTCAAGAAATCTTCAACTCACGATTCGCAGAGGCTGCCATGGAAAACATGACCAGAGGGCCATATGACCTGGTTTACATCCTACAAGACTTACTCCAAATGCCGCGGAACTCAGAGCCGTGCATTCACAGCACAGAAATAGTTGACTGTGCGTCAATGCTAGACCAATCTGGCGTTATCATGGCTTTCCACTTCAGCTGTTTCTCTTGTCATGCTTGTCTAAGTGCCGCTGCCCTACCACTACCCACCTACACGTGGCTACGACATTGAAGTGTCGTGATCGCTCCTTGTTGCATCATTGAAAGGTTGTTCTTTTATCATCGAAAGATCTTGATGCATGCACGGCCTGTAGACGAGAATCTTGCCCCAGGCTAGCGTATGCGGTGCCTCAGCTTGGGTGCCGGTGCCACTACCCTGGCTGCTGTCCCGGCCAGGAATTCCACAACTCCACAACTTGACCGAACAACAGCTGTGCAACAATGGGCTCAGGTCTCAATCTTGATTCACTCGACATTTGCTTATTTACTTGAATAAGTCCGGCCGAGGAAAGCAGCTACAAAGAAAGTACTGTAACCAAAGAATTCGACCGACCTATACTGCGTTGGTGCTGGGCGCCAAGCGATGCTTGGTAATGTGTCTAGTGCATGCATCAACTTCACAACCCTGCGAGATAAACGGCCGAAGCAACAAAAGATGTGTCGTTCTGGGCCCAGAATTCCGAAAGTCAGAACACGAAGGTCCTTGCACAAGAAATTGCGGAACACCAGGGGTACGTTGAGCCACGGTTCTGAGGATGCCACTTGGGATCCAGGAACACTGCGTGGATGAGATAGACATCCCATTCAAGTTTATGGACCCTATAGTCTTTAGTTTCAAGAAACAAAAGCCCTTACGTAATTACAAAAGCCCTTACGTAATTATACGCAAAACACCTTCAACACTACTTCTCTAAATCCCAATCCCTAAATCACGAGAAGGATTTCGAAATCCTGATGGGGCTACTTTATGTTAACTGGAGGCCACCAAAGCGCCACGACGAGATAGGGATTTCGGTGTCTCGGATGGCTCGGCCTCATGGTACGAGGGGCGCGTGTTGAAGGTGGCTTGATTCGAGGCGCACTATTCTTTTATCTTGTTTCAGGCTTTAGAAGGTGATATGTGATGCTATAATGTGCTTTGGTGCTGCTTTTATTTGGGCTATTCAAAGAACGCTGTGTCCACATGTGCAGAAAACGGAAAGATCCTCCCTGTGGAGCCACCGCGAGCTTAGTAGTCGAACGTGCAGGTAAGGAACAAACCCTTGCCCTGAACCCTGGGCACTGTTCGCTCCTGTCAAGGGTCCTGACGAAGAGGCCCTGTTTCGGGATCCTTACAGTGGGGAGGCCCCTTAGCTTCACTATGCTTTGCGGCCACAACAACTCTTCAGGTGTTGGGGTAGCAGCCTGCTTCTGTGCGGGACAGGAGGTAGAGTCTAGGATTGACGGGAAGATTTAGGCATGAAGCTTGGGCTTGCCTCTAAGCAACCTCCCTGCATCGGGTGTGGTGAGCCACGCCTCACACGATCCAGGTTATCTTCACTTTCAAGCTTAACATCATAACATCTCAATCTCTTAATATGGTAGTCTAGTGGCTCGTGTGGCAAGCGTAGGGGACCTGTCCACTTTGGCACACACCCCTCCACATGTCCCACCCGACACTGTTGTTCTCAACCTCTCCAGTTCAGCTTGGAACGATGCCCCCAAACAGCATGCATGTTTTTATGTATGTGTTCCGTACGCACGTAGGCCCGGCAGGAAGGAAGGGTAGGAAACTTCGGCAGGTAAGCAGGGAGGCCAGGCAGGGCGGGAGGGAGATAAGTAGCATGTAAGCATGTAGGTATCTAAGTATGAATGCAAATACGAATGTATGTATGTATGTATGTATGTATGTTAGTTAGGTAGGTAGGTAGGTAGGTAGGTAGGTAGGTCTAGGTATAGGTTGGTGAGTAGGCCGGTCGGTCGGTCGGTCGGTCGGTCGGTCGGCGGGCGGGCGGGCGGGCGGGCGGGCGGGCGGGCAGGTAGGTAGGTAGGTAGGTAGGTACGTACGCTTGCACGTGCGTGGGTGGGTGGATGGATGGTAAAATCAGCTTGGCTGCACATAAAGGCTATTAGAAGCACTATACATACACGCAATAGCCGAGCTAACACAGGCAAGCAAACGCAAAACAAACTACAAACAGTAATCTTTGCAGACATGTATGTATTGCGGTATATGTGTGCTCTTCGCACACATGTGTATTGAACGGTCCCAGGGGCTTATGCGGGTATATGGATGCGGCGTTTTTCAACCCACACATATCATGCCTCACTGCTGGGCGCCCAGCCATTGGTTGAGTTCCCAACGCACGGCACGGAAGATGTAGTTACGGTACCTAGTAAGGAAGCGAGTGGATTGAGCCGATTCTGCGTCGAAGGCAGTCGGCGCCGTTCCCATGCCTGGCCATATGATAAACCTTCACGCGTGGTAGGTTTACGAGCGCACAAAACGGACTGATGCAGCCTTCGACGCGAACAAATCTATGGGAGGGTTTCGGGACAGAGCACTGAAACCCGGTTTCCTTTCCCACCGCCACGCGCAATGTCACGAAGGAGACGCAATCTGCTCCAGGGGGTGGCCTTGCTTTGGCTTTGGGGCCTTGAGCCCGGAAGGCCTCTGCTTGGGGCTTGGGCTTATCTATACAGGGCGTTTGGGGCCTTTAAGTTAAGAGTAAGGGGATTTGGATCTTGAAAGCCCTTTGGGCTTTACAACTGGGGCTGGAAGCCCACAGGGCCTCAGCCGACGCACTCGTTGGCAGCAGCCACGGGCGCTATTCTACATAGGAATCCCTTACAGGATTGCGGAAAATCGAATTCGAACGTGCGCAGTCCTTGTTGGAGACTCTGCCTCTAGCGTGTGCACTACTAGTCAAGCGAAGCCGTCTGCCTATGTCGGATGCTACATTGCAACACCAAGGAACCACAAACTTGAGGCATGTTTCCACGGCCGCGATTGTCCGATGGCTATGTAAACTTCCACACGTGGCATAACGGTGCATGGGTGTTTGACATCTATGGAATCTATGGGTTGTTGTGAGAACAGGGGTAACCTTCCAGGTTTCGCCAACATACACCGTCTGCGAAGTAGAAGTATGTTGCAAGGCTGTATTGACATTTAGCCTTGCTTCTGGACTGATCTGTTGAAAATGTTGGGCGCTTGCGAGAACACCTGTGCCAAGCGATCCCTGACAAGCGTATCATCGTCGCTCTCCTCGCCATCATCTCCGCCATCACCGAAGGACTCGGCGAAGAAGGAATCACCTTGTAGAAC